ATAGAAAATTGCATACATGGAAAAGCAGGTCACAGGCGCTTGATACGTGTGCACCTTTCCGACTCGCGCTCCCGCTTGTTATATCATTTGATTAGCCAGTAATGCTCAGGAGTTACTGAGAACAAGTTTTCACGCAAAAGTCAAGCTTTCTTCCCATAATGAGTGTTGCTGTCCTAACACAATCGAATTAATTTTCCATAAATTGGTGGTTCAACCAGACCTAGCTAAATTGGGGGTAAAAAAGCCTTCTAATAGGTTTAAATTTCGAAAATGATGTGAAGACTCTCTACCATTCTTGCAGGTTGCAGAGAAATCGTTTTTAAGCATCAGTGGAAAAACAAGGCTTTGCAAGGCCACACGCTAAGAACCCTAAGTGCAGGAGATTTTGAAAGTTGTAGACTGAAATGCTACCTGGAGGACAACTGGGTTTCAGTTAACTTTGAATCTACTGGGAAATGTGATCTTAATGGCAAGGACCATACCCAGAAGCCAAACGATTTAGTGGATGCCATTGACAACTCATATTCATCTGTGGAAGTAAGTTTAACATAAAAATGGCTTTGTGGAAAGAAATGTCCCTTAGCTGACTACAACTGGTGGCTGAAAAAGGTTTCAGTCACTTATTTTGATTAATTTCATAACACATTCGGTTACCATAGAAACAGTACCGCCTCCGATAGAAACGTGCCTGTTAATCAGAAGCTATTCGTAGACTAATGATCTTTATTCTTTATCACTAACCTGAAATTATTATACTATCATCTATCTTTTTGCCAAGTAATTGAGAAAAAAAAATTAAGTACGTTTCAAAGTCATCCTTAGCTATTTCTTGGTCGAGAGACCTATAAATTTTCAAGGTATGGCCGCAATTTACCAGGGGTTTGAAAATTGGTACTAAAAAAGTGTGAGATAAACGTGGAATTGATGCTCAAGACGTGGTCTACTAGTGATGGACCAAGTTGACCAGGCTAAGGGTCGGGCGAAACACCAAAAAATTAAAATTTAATCGAGATCCTTCGGTATAAACCGAGATAAAACTAATTTCGAAATCCTTTCGGAATGGTTCTCTAATACGCTCTGCTACTGAACTCTAACACTATACAACGAATGTTAATTCCGGACAGATAAGATTATTTGACAAAGAGTGTCACCAGGTCGTATACGTTATGCGACAACAACAAATGTAATTACGTAGTTGTCCTTGTTACAAGTTCTCGAACCCCCTCCACACAGATTTTGTAATCGAAGTCTTTTCAACACTAAGATATTGGAAGTTCCTTTTTAATGGTCCTGTTTGTTAAATTTGCTGACTTTCGTTGACCAAATTACAAAACTTTTGGCCGGAACGTTTCGGCTGAAAAAGGATTCCCTCTTGTGTAAAGCAATGGTATTCTTATTACTGAATCTATCGTGAATGAAGGAAAAGGAGTAAGTTATTTAACTAAAGGCTCTAAATAATCGTCCCATCCGCATCAAAAGTAGGTACCTACTAATTTTAAACACTCAAAAGTTATGAGGCTTGAATTCAGATCACTCAAATCTCAACAAGAATTCTCCTATCTTTTCTCGGGAGCATTCGTACTGGTTTAGCAATGAAGCAATATTTCAGAGTTAATCCGAAGTTAAACTTTAGAGCACTTTCGACTGAGTGTTGTGAAACCAAAACTGAAAAAGTTGCATTAGCCAACCGAACAAATAATCAACTTACAAGGAGTCAATGAGGACCTTAAAGAAACAACAACTAACTTGCCTGAGACACGGCAAAACGCAAGTGACAAAAACGCGATTGATGTTATTTTTGACGGAAGTGATTGGTACAGAGAATGGCGCGAGTTTTTATTTTTGGAGCAATCGCAGAGTATAGTCAAACAAAACAGACGCAATCGAGGATTGCTTTCGGATTGCTTTCGGCACTCTCTTGAAAAGTCCGCTGGCCACAAGCATTAGACAAAGAATGATCTTAGTCCACCCTGAGGAATCGGAGGCTCAACCAGTTCCGATTTCGTTGTCGAAAGCCGCACCTATTGAGTTATATAAAAACACAAAGACGGGTTTAGTGATTACTAAGTCCATACTTGACGTGTATTCGGCATCTGCTGATTCAAATGTCGGACACATCATGTATGGAGCTCTCATTGTTGTGTTTATCTACAGAACCCCTGCGCCAGTTCGCCGTGTCAGCATCCTAATGTTCTTTGTCAAGTCGGTTTTACTGGCCGAGGGTACAGATGTAACTGCAACAAAACTGGATTCGCTGGTGAGACGTGTGAGAAAGGTAAAGTATCTTCACGATATATATGGCAAAAGAAAGAAACAACCATTACAGAAAAGGAATTCAAGGATGTCGATGTCTGACGCACGTAAAATAGGCAATACCATGACCAAGCGCGTATTTCATTTGCACGTTTTGATATATAAACAATCATGATAATAAGCTTAATTTACCACCCTCCAATAACGACTTTTGAGGGCCAAAGTAAAATAAGTGTCCAGTCGTTTCGCTGCAATTCGAAATCGATTCTCGTCAAAAGTCATTTCGTCACAAACTTAAGTGGTTTCGCTCCAAGCACGTAAGGTTGAACACTTTTCAGACACAACGGAATGTTAAGTTGCGTTGCAGACATGACTTAAGGTTTGTTTGTTGTAATCTTGAGTTTGATGTGAAGTTGAAGCGAAACAACTTATGGTTTGTGTCGGAAAGACTTTTGATTTGTAGCGGATTGACTTGAAATTGTGAAGAGAAACGACTTTGTAGAGAAACGACCGTATACCTAAAAACAAACAAGAAAACAGACGATCGAAATACGTGGCCAAGAACGTAACGGGTAAGAAGCAGACCTGTTTACCGAGCATTGTCAAGGAGTTAATTTGGGACAAGTTGTTAGTGCTGAGGGTGGCCATGGATGGCTTGAATCTGTTCATCACCAAATTGCAAGTCCGTTTTCAGTTCTTTAGTAACAGGATTAAGAAATAACCTAAACGTCACAATTAAATTTTCAAATCCATAGCTGTCCTCCGTATTTTTGTTAAATCGTTCGGCACTAAGGACAGACCGGATGGTGCCATTTTTGGAGATACGATCATCGAAGTAAACGGGATAAATCACTGCAAAAAGGCAAGTGTTCTTACTGTCTGTGTTTGTGTGAAGTGATCTAGTTCACCTTTTAAACTGTTTAAGAGCTTTGATTTTTAGCTCACGTAGCTAACACGAAAAAACACGGCACTAAACAAGAGTTAAGGTGCTTTTCAATTTTGACTTGAATGTCGTGAAACCAGAAGTAGGGAGTTACTACGGCTGATCACAACAAAGGAGAATTTAACAAGGAACCCTAAAAAATTAAAGATAAATGCAAGTAAACTGATACCTAAAGGGAGAGGAAGAGGCGGAATAAAAATCGTTTTAACTTTCACTTAACTGATTGAGAGGGTGGAGTGAGTTTTCGAAGTGAAAAAAAATTTAAAAAAATCCTGGATCACTTTCGACTCTTTTTGAGAGATTGCTCTTTAAGTTGATCGACTTTGTTTTTGACTTCTATTGACCAGCGGTGTGTATTTGAATATAGCCTCGTTAATTTTATTCTAAAAGGAAGGAAAACCAACGCAAGCGATAAAAGCAATACGACTAATTACATATTTGAATCACTACTGTATTTACTTTTTCGGTTCTTTAGTCCAGCCCCAAAACGATGACGATCTCAATCAAATCTTGTTATGCATTTGTACAAGTTTCAGACGCCTTTTGTAAACATGCGCAGAAAGCTCTCTCCGGCTAATGTGCCCAGCGAAAACGAGTTAGTTTAACGTTTTCGGGAACGGAGAACAGTAAAAGTAAACTCAGACTTAATTACTCAGTTTTGGCCTCAAATGTAAGTTGAGGAAGAATAACAACAGATCCCGGCCTTCAAAATACCTTAAGCAAATATTTTAACTTCAGTGTAAAAACTGCCACTGAAACGAGATATTTAAAGTTCCATTTCTGTCGTTAGACCTCTTGTTTAACCCCCCTAATCTCCCAGAGGATACATTCCCTTATCCCCTCTATTATCCCCCTCCCCACGGCAAAAGAGCTGGAATTAACAAGGATTTACTCAGAGGTCGTTATTGCGACTTGTAAGAAACTGGGACTGACGCGATTGAGTATACTCGTGAGTTGCCATTCTTGTCCATCGAGCGGAGGAAGAGAAAAGGTCAAATTGCATTAGTCAAACTCTAAGCGAGATTTGGTGGCGCGAGAGAAAGATAGTCTCCGTACTTTAGCAAGATATCCTTTCAAGTTGAAATAACTACACCTGAATTTGAAGCATCAGTAAAATCGGACAATCTATGAAGGATATTGTTAAAGAGGTTGTGGGAGCGAACGATCTTTGTTATCTTCGAGCTTAACTCATGGGTAGGCACAAGGGAACTTCGTAAGTAGGACTGCTGTGGAACCAAATTTGGTTGTAATGACCCATGGGGCAGTAAGACTAATCTAGTCAGATAATTAGAAAAGGGGCTGAACTTTTAAATGTGTTCGGAGCATAAAAAAGAGGTTGTAATGATGATATGAATGTACTGACGGGGTAGTGCTGATGCGATGGTTCACCAATCATTCATAGCTTTAAATAATTGACGGAATAGGTTCTTATTGACAGCGAAGAGGTCACAACATCGTAACAGTTTATCCTGGTAACGGATCAATTCACGCAAGTAAGAGTTTCGACACACACGATAGTGCACAAGCAAGTGCAGACATGACAACATTTATAAACAGTTTACCAGAAAATATCATGGTACTGATTGCAGTGCACGATTCAGCACTTGCCAGTGTCATGCGTAACACCCCAGGTGCTGAAAGTGCCCTGCGCAATGTTGGAGCTGTAGACCCTGTGTTCACCCAGCTGCGCGAATCGTGGCTGCTTATTGGTTACAAAGGCGCAGATAAGCCCACGTGGATTCAGCAAAGATATGCAGCGAGGAACCTGGGACCAGTTTCTATTGGAACTGAGATAATTTTCTAAGTATATTCCTATTCCTATGTAGCTGTTTTTAGGCAGTAAAACAATTTTAATTTAAATATAGATAAGCTTTAAATGATACTACATCTTTCGAATTAACTGTTTTTTAGCTCATAGCTTATAGCCTGATAACCAAACGCCTTTAAAATACATTTGTCTTTTGTTTAATACGTTTCTTTTTCAAAGTTGCAATCATGCTGTGAGATTCCTGTGAAAGATGCCTGCAAAGGATGGAGTGTAGGTTTTATACCGTTAGTAGTTCGGAGAAAAAATATATAGGTATATATTGTAAGTAAAGTTAGAATCGAAGGTAGTGGTACGAAACTGTACGTTATATGTGGCACTGTGAATTAAGAATTTAATGTTTTATCTTGCATTTAGTACACTAAGTAAATGTAGATAAAGTTAAAAAAGAAATTAAAAAAAGGTGAAGTATAAAAACACTTCAAATGATTTTGAAAAAGCGATAGATCAGTGTGAGTCATATTGATATCTGATACCTGTTCTTACGCCGATTAGGGTGGAAAACGATGAGATTTTCATTCTCAAACTGGCTGTTGACAACGTCAACGATTAAACGCCTATCGAGAGATGGCAACATGGCAAAGCTTCCCTCAACAATTGTGAGACCAAAAACTGTGCAAAAAAGGGAATCTCTCTCTTACCAGGTGCTCCTGAGTGACATTGCTGCTAAGATATTATAAAGAAATGAATCGTAATAGTTTTAGGATAAATTCCTAGATCTGATAAATTCATTTTTAGAAAAAACTAGTGAGAAGCTCGATGAACATGTCTGTGGTTGTCTAATAAAAACATGTGAAGAGGATAAATTAATAGTGATAGTAGGACTTCTTACTTCAAGTTAAGAAAGTCTATTACGAGCTTCGTTCACAAATGCTATCAGTAATTTCCTTCGTAAGATATTCTGTTGGAGTGATAATCGCTAGCCTCCCAGTGCGAGCACTTCTGGCAAGGACACACTTGTTCACGGAGAAAGCAATTGAAACTAAAATGGCTTAATAATTGCCCCCTGTAGTTTTGCCTCCTGCAAGCGGCCTCCTTAGCTACCATTTTAAGTGCGGCGGTTTGTCACGGGGAAGCTGGCCCATAATTCGCAAATTAAATCTTACTACGGAAATGCATTAGGCTCTCCATGGCCCCGCTGTTGGTTTTCCTAAAACGGGCAAAAAGCTTAAGAGGGGTTTGGCTAAGTTTCCTGTGATAAGAAGCGAATACTGGCTCATGCAGCGTAGTTTGTTTAGAAAGGCCATTTAAATGTGTTAGTATTAGATTGGTCTGGAATAAAGTTACTAGACATACGATAAACTATGCAGTCTTCTAGAGATTTTATGATCTAGTTTCTGTGGTTTTGTTACTTGCATACCATCGCTTTCGCTTTTCGTTCACGAATTTAAGGCCTTCGGTACTTGAAACTCTTTTTAAGTATCTATTACCCCACCTTTTCCCACCCTTTTTACGATCTGAAGTGGGAACCCAAGTTAATATTGCACGACCTTTCAATAGGGGTTTAATAGAAAGTTTTCAATATATCTTACGAACTGCTATGCGATATATCGACATAAGGTCGACTAGATCTAAGATTTCACGCGACTTAATAACAAGGTTACCGTTGTCTTTGCAAATGTTAACGGGCTCATTAACTAAAGAATGCATGTAAAAATAATCGATCGCACTGAAAGCTTAGGTTTGAATATTCTATGATTTTCCGGATGGTGTTTTGCATCACGCAATGGAACCCCATGAACTAACACCGACTTCTAGGAAGTAAAAAATCTCTCAGGGGACAAACGACTGAAAACGACAAGGGGACGAGACCGGCGTAAGAACTGCAGCGTCAAATAATCTTTAGGCATTACACTAACTTTCAACTAAAGTGCATTCATCTTGAAACTAGGTTTACGCGATATGGCAGAATTTCAATACTATTCCATGTTTTGATGTCCCCTACAGCTCTTTTCATATTGTTTTGAAACTCCTTTGTCAATCAAAACTACACCTGAGCATGATACAGGACCTTGTAGTCGGCACTAAGTTACTTAAGTAAGTAATCATCAACTGTATGTTTAAAGGGTAACGTGAGTAATCAGTTTTGGCTAAAAATAGTCTGCTGGTGATATTTTACGTTAAGATCGTAAACCGGTTTTTGACAAAAGAAATACTACATTGACGTTTGAATGACTACAGAGGGCTTCAGTGTTTTTGACAGTCTTGGGAAGCGATAAGCAATTGGAAATCAAAATAAACCACATCTTGATCGTAACCAAGGATAAGAGAGTTAAATGAACAAGGCGTCTTTACAAACGATCTTTTTGGCCACATTGTTTTAAGGATTACGATAAATTACTGCTTTAGCTTATGCACTTAGCCCTCTAACTTTCCCGTCGACAAAGGATTTTAGTTTTCAATTATTTCATTAGTCTTCTGGACCAATTTAGAAAATAATCACAATCCAACAAAAAAAAAAACCTTGAAGAAAAGTGAGGATACCTTACTCTAGAATTTTGTCAACCTATAAACCTAATTTTTTTTCAAATACGTCAACAAGAACGAAAACGAGGCTGTAGATGTCACATTGCTCATGCGGACGAGCCTATACCTCTTAGGCCGGCTTATTTGGAAAAAGAGATGGGGGAGATTCTTGCCCTAAATCTTGTTGTTTAACGAGAGAAAAATTCTCTCTTCGGTCTGAAAACGTTTTGAAGAAACGTTGTAAACATTGTAAAACCTCTCGGCCAATGTTGATACATAAATAGGTCTTCTGTTGGTAAACTACATTGAGTGGGTTGTAGTAAACTCAAGCTCTCTAAGATTTTGCGAACTCTCACTTGGCTGAGAAATTGGATAGACAAAGGCTTTGTAAACCAGCAAAGGGCATTCCTGAGAATAACAGGATAAATTTAAAGGCGTTAATGTTCAAGAATATTTAACAGCATAGCTTGTCATGTGTTCGAAGTCGCTCCATGTCTCCATTAGTGGCTATATTGAACTCACTAAACACAAAACAATTTCAAAATACGTTCTGTTAAAATTTTTTTATTATCATTTCCCCATTCTTCAATATATAGCTCACAAGCTGTCAACCATGAAATAACGTGATACTCTTAATTTTTTTTCTTTATAATACAAATAATGATTTCTAGCCTAGAAATAGACCGGAATTAAAAGACAATACACGCGATCGTTAAACTTACATAAACAAATGCAATTTGCGGTTTTCAAGTTGTGTTCATGAATTAATATCAATAGTTCGCACGCAACATAAAAGTGCGCCGTCGATGACAGGCTCGGAACGAAAGAAAGAATGTCTTGTTGCATCTTTCCTTTTCATACTTTACCGTATCACTCCACCAGAATCAGTGGAAACTTTTTCTGAGATAACAATGTGTAGCCTGAATTCTCTGAATTCAACTTTGTCAGATACTAAATTAAATTATGATAATCCAGACGCGTTAGATATAAATTATGTTCTCGCCCCTAATTCATCTCTTTGTTCTATCTTAAACTTGAGCAGAAAGTAAGCTCTGTACGTCAAAGCTGCCTCTTCTTCGTTCTCTTTCGTGTTCAGAAGAGGATTGTTCGATTGTTTCACAGTCAATCTCTCTTTCTCTGTGTACGTCTCTGTCGTGCTGATCATATCTAGGTGGCGATGTTTCCCTTTGAGCGAGTACACTCGGCTTTGGTTCTTCGCTAAAAAGTGCAAAGTAACGGTGCGAATCGCTCAGGAGTCGCTCCGATTTCAGATCCAGCTTGAGACATTTTCCAGACCTTCTCCGGCGGTAGTCTCCGTGTAAGAAATCTTCGTAGTACATTGGACAAATAGTCCAGAAATGTCCCTTACCGTTTGGACTGCGACCAGCTTTGATAAAGCAGTCATTCAGAGAAAGATTGTGGCGAATGCTGTTTCGCCATCCGCTTCCTTTGGTCCTGAAGTATGGATACCGTGTCAGTATATAGCTGTAAATGTCACTAAGGACAAGTTTCTTCTCTGGTGAGCCTAGGATTGCCTCTGCAATGAGCCCAATGTAGCTTTGGCTAGGTTTTTCGTACGACCTAGCCAAGGAACTTCCCGAGGGCAGGAAGAAACCGCAGCTTCCCAGGGAAGGAACTGTAGGCCAGAAGCTTGTGTAATCGAGCGGGGCGACAGCTGCTGGTGCAGGAGGACCGTGACAGTTCAGCTTGGAGTGTGGTAGTCCCCACGAGTACCAAGGTCCTAGTTCAAACGCTGTTGGTACAGCACTGGGCCATGTTACTGTGCTCACAGACGGCACAGTCGGAAAGTAATCCGGGGCTTTCTCGTAGCTCGATACAGGACTAAATGCTGACATGGTTTTTCTGCAATTGATTTCCTGGATGAACAAGCAATAACAGTCAACTCTCAGTTCAGATGTCTCGGTCAAGTTGTGTTTAGACTGCTTTTCAAGGCACTGTAACGTTCGCTCCTAGCGCTTCAGTTTATATAAACGCTCGGCCAGGCTATCACGTGACCGAGCCAATACAGTAACTTACTAGCGGTCTTTTGTTCTTACGGAGAGGTGAATAATCGTGGGAATTGCAACATTACGACCACATGCGGAGAATATTTATAGCGTTTATATTTGAAGTGGGAACAAGAATGTGATCCCCGGGGTTGCACGCATGGGTACCGTTCAACATCCCCGTCAATGGAAAGCCTCTGATAAACGCATTTTTCAACTTGATTTTGTGTTTTCAGCTTTTCCTAAGACGCAGATTAGCACAACAGGAGTTTTTGTGAATTGTTTTGGCTGGCTTGCGTGTTTGTAGTCTTTGCCCCTATTTTCCCAGTAATCCCCCCTCGTAGGTAATCTATTTATCATTCGTAAGCAACATCACTAAACCGAATGCGCTAAGTGCTTTAAAAAGTGTGTATATTTTGATCTTTTAGTTGGTTTTATCCATTTAATTAGTGCATTGTCTAGAAAATTACAAGTCTGGCATTTAAATCCAGGAAACAAAGAATGATT